GGGGGGGGATCGGACAAAGAGCAAGGGAGCCCCATGACATCCGTGTGTATGCTGTAACCTACAGCTGGCTAAACAAAGAAACCGCTCTATTGCAATGTTTTATCCCCAGTCACACTGTTTCCTCTTCTTTTTTTTATGTGTAGCGGATCCTGAACGCCGTTTATCCACGGAAAGGTAACGCATCTGCATACATATTTTCTTTTCATATATTTTTAATTGGAGCAAAAAGTGCTATTATTGTTTTTTGATTGGCTAATTAACATTTGCATAATTGTTTTACCGGAAGCAACTGGGGCCCTTTGTCATCAGCGTGGGCACTAAATACACAAATTATCTATAGTTTCTTTTTCTTTAACGTAATGGATGCATGTATTTTATTATTAAATATATTCATGAAGACATTTGATCTGGAATTTATAATCTTTTTACAAAATTACAATTGCAATTTGGCTAATACTATAACACATGTGATAAATGTTTTATAGGGTAACATAACCAAGGAAAGTATCCTACTGTAATATAAATCTGTGAAAATGAATTATTATTATATAAATAAATATTCTAAGGATAATAATAGTTATTTTTCAATTGTTTTCTTTTCCTCTCCATGTTTCTGGCTATGTCCCAAAGACTCCTCCAGCATCAGTCGCTCCTCTCCAGGGATAGCTGCTCCCGATCTGTTTGCCCCTGAGCCCTGCAGTACCCAGTCGTCCTCTCCACTTTGTCCCGATGAAGGAGGCTGATGCCATCAAGTTGTTTGTGGGGCAGATTCCCCGTAATCTGGAGGAGAAGGACCTCAAGCCTATCTTTGAGCAGTTCGGCAAGATCTATGAGCTAACTGTGATTAAGGACAAATACACTGGCATGCACAAAGGTAGGATCTGCCTTCGTAACCCAGAGTTAAAAAGATGCCTCCGGTGCTTGATAGATGTGCGACACAGAGGCAGATAGATGAGTGAAAATATTTCTGCGTGTATGTCACATGTATCCATGGAAACTGTCACAGCGCCTTCGTGTCTTCATTTTGAGTTCAGGCATGAGATCCCGAAGACGAGCAAGCAAACTCAGTTACTGCCCGTACACTGCGAGCGAACTCGCTGTTTTGCAGCAGCATGCTTCATAAAACAATCGGGTGCCTAATGTATTTAAAAATTTACTCCAATTTGTAAAGCTTGTGCTCCACAGGCGGAAAAAGAATGTGATAAAAAGTTTTATAATATATGATAAAGAGTGGAAATAAGGATCTCCTGATAGATGCCATGAATGAAAAATAACTTTCTACTGTAGCAAAACCCATTCAGGCACACACATGCACACACACACACACACTGACCTGGGGTCCTTTGTGTTATGAGCCAGATTAGACTGTATGCTCCAATCAGTGTAATGGGGCTGTAAGCCAGGGTGACACAAGGGAAAGAATCTGTTGTTTTGAGATTCCCCACAGCCACAGTAAGCCGCTCTTAAAAGCAATGAGATGGACCACAAGATGCCTGTGTGTCTATGTG